AAAATTTAAAGTCTACTACTGCCTCCTCCTTCATCAGAACCCTAGGCAGGAACCCCCATATCCCTCTCCCTAGGAAACATATGTTGATTTGAAAATATCTGTCTAGATGCAGCAATAATGCTTACAATGCTAACGGAGTTTTAGAAATGGAAATGTTTCCTTTGAACTAGTATCATATAAATATGAGTTAACAGGGCATATAAGTGTTAGAATGTATGCCTCTAGGTTAAAATATTGATCAAATAAAGAGAAAATGTGCAGAGAAATGGACAATGAGAGACAGATAGCAGTATTATTTAATCTGACCTAGATTACAATGTTGTTAATTTCAGCAAGACTGGGTCATAAAACTAGCCTCAACAAATTTAAAAGAATTAAAATCATACAAATTATAGTTACTACAAACAGAATTAAGCTGGAAATCCTACAGAACTATCTCTGGAAAATCCCCAAATATTTGGAAATTAAACAAGAAATAATTCATGAGAGAAAGAGGAAGTCACAAAGGAAATTAGAAAATAGTTTGAGTTGAATGAAAATGAAAACAAAGCATCAAATATTGGGGGATGCAATAGTCAATATCCTACCGATTGAGAACAAGGCAAGGATGTTTTCTTTCACCATTCCTAATCAGAATTGTATAGGAAGTCCTAGCCAGAGCAATAAGGCAATAAAAAGAAATAAAAAGTCTACAAATTAGAAAGGAAGAAGTAAAACCATCTCTGTTCATAGAAGAAATTATAAGAAATTCTACAAGAAAGTTTTAGAACTAGTAAGAGTTTTGAAAAGTTTTAATATTCAATATACAAAATCAGTAGTATTTCTTTTCTTTTTTAGTAGTATATCTATATACTAGCAGCAAACAATTGGAAATTGAATGTCAAAGAAAAATTGACCAAATACAATAGGACCCAAAACATTTTAAATATTTAGGCATAAATCTAACCAAAGATATCTAAGATCTGACTCTTGAAAACTAGACAAACATATTAAATATTAAATAAGACCTAAACAATTGAGAAATATATTCTGTTCATGAATTGGAAGACTAAAGAGTGTTAAGATGTTAATTCTCCCCAAATGGATCTATAGATTCAAAACAATCCCAATAAAAATTCTAACAGGTTGTTTTGCAGAAATTAACAACATGGTTTTAAAATTTACATGGAAAGGCACAGAACCAGAATAGCTAAAACACTTATGAAAAAGAACAAAGTTGGAAGACTTATGCTACCTGACTTCCAGACTGATTATACTGTCATAGTAATCAGAACAGTGTGGTATTGACCAAAGAATAAGCATATAAATGAACAGAACTAGGTAGTCTCAGAAATAGACCCATACTTATACTCAAGTGAATTTCAGTGAAAGAGCAGACAATACAATGGGGAAGGATAGTCTTTTCACCAAATGATCCCAGAACAATCAGATATTCACTTGCAAAAAGAAAAAAAGTGCCATATTAACAAATTAACACAATGTGGATCATAGACCTAGATTTAAATGAAAACTATAAAACTTCTTTTTTTAAAAGATTTTCTTTATTTATTTGACAGAGAGAGAAAGAGTACAAGCAGGGGGGAGTAACAGAGGGAGAGGGAGAATCAGTCTCCCTGCCAAGCAGGGGGCCCAATATGGGACTCAATTCCAGGACCCTGGGATCATGACCTGAGCCAAAGGGAACACTTAAATGACTGAGCCACCCAGGCACCCCAAAACTATCAAAATTCTTAAAAAAATAACAGAAAAAAAATCTTTGTGATTTTGAATAAGGCAAAGATTACCTAGATACACAAGAAGCATGATTCATAAAAGAAAAAATGGATATATTGGGAGTTTATCAAAATGCTTAAATTATGCTCTTTGAAAAAAAGAATTACCGTTCCTGAAAATAAAAGAACAACTCACTAGCTGGAAAATGTACTCAAGACACATACCTAATAAAGAATCTGTGCCTAAAATATATAAGGAATTCTCAAAACTCAATAATAAGAAAACATATGACCCAAATCACTGAAACGAGCAAGATATTGAACAAATAGTTCAACAAAAAACCAATATGAATAGCAAATAGCAAATGAAAGTATGCTCAATATAATTACTCCTTAGGGAAATGCAAATTAAAACTGCAATGAGATTATTATCACCTATCTGAAGGGGTAAAACAAAGGAAAAAAAAAGAAAAAAAGGAAAACTAGCAATACCAAGTACTGTGGAAAATAAGAAGCAACTGGAACTCTCATTTGCTGGTGGAAGTGCAAAATTATTCAGTTCCTCTAAAAAACAGTTTGGTAATTTCTTGTACACACTCACCGTATGACTTAGCAATTTCAAGAGAAGTTTACTCAAGAGAAATGCAATATAAGTACACACAAAAACCCCTATGTGAATATTTATAGCAGCTTTGCTCATAATCACTCTAAGGAGACAAACCAAATATTCTTCAGCTGATAAATTATTTTATTTTATTTAAAAATTTTTAGAGTCTGGCAGCCTGGGTGGCTCAGTAATTTAGCACTACCTTCAGCCCAGGGCATTATCCTGGAGACCTGAGAATCGAGTCCCACATCGGGCTCCCTGCATGGAGCCTGCTTCTCCCTCTGCCTGTGTCTCTGCCTCTCTCTGTCTCAATCTGTGTCTCTCATGAATAAATAAATAAATAAAATCTTTAAAAAAAATAAAAATAAAAGTAAAATATTTTAAAGATTTATTCATTTATTTGAGAGAGACCATGAATGCAGGGGAAGGGGCAGAAGGAGAGAGAGAGAGAAAAAAAAAATCATAAACAGACTCCATGTTGAGAGCAGAGTCCATCACAGGGCTCAATCTCACGACCCTGAGATCACAACCTGAAATTAAGAGCTAAATGCTTAACCAGCTGCACCACCCAGGGGCTCCTGAATATATGATTTTAAAACTGTGATAGTAAAAAAACAAAAACAAAAACAAAACCAAAAACCTGTGATAGTTCCATATAATGAGATTGTATTTGACGATAAGAAGAAATAACCTTCTGGTATACATAACAACATGGATGAATCTCAAATGAATTATGTTAAGATTTACAGATGTACTAAGGTTACCTGGTGTATTATTACATTCTATGACATATATGGGAAGAGCAAAGCTCTAGAGACGGAAAATGTATCAGTGCTTTCCAGGAGCTGAGGAAAGTGGTGACTACAAAGTACAAAGGGACACAAGGGCATTTTTTATGGTGAAGGATGTTCTATATACTGATTGTGATGATTTACATGACTATGTAATTGTCAAAACTTACAGAACTGTAAACTAAAACAGATCATTTCTCTTGCATGTAAATTATACTTCAATAAATCTGACTTTAATTTTTAAAAGAGTTTAAAAACCTGTTTTCCAGGGGAAAATCCAATAAGGATCAGAGCCAAGCAAATAAGAAAAAAAAAATCTTCTACAGAAGCTCAGCGACTTAATCTAGGATGAAAGGAACCTAAAGAAAAAGGTTTCCAAGAAAAGATGAAACTAACAATTTAAGGTTCACATGTCTATAAAAAATAGCTTAGAAGTCATTGGGAGAATACAGAATGTCTGAAGAAATGATAAATAATTTGCCAGTTGCTCAAGAGCTGAAGCAACTGAATCACAGAGAGTGGTGGGTGGAACCCTAAGGCACATGCCCATCTGGTCCCTGGTGGACACACTGTTTAATCTCCTCCACTTGAGTGTGGGTGAGACTAGTAGATGTGGGAATGCACTCCCATGATTAGGGAGAGAGACAGAATCAACAGCAGACTCAGTACTGAGTGTGGAGCCCATTACAGGGCTTAGTCTCACCACCCTGAGATCCTGACCCGAGCTGAAATCAAGAGTTGGCCGCTTAACTGACTGTGCCAACTGGGCACTCCAGGTCAGCTATTAGAAGAGGGGTCAGAGCACCACTAAATGGAAAGGTTCTGCTGTGCCAGGAACTGCCTGGTGGAGGGGACCATGAGGCAAAGCCTGAGGGCAGCCTGTAGATGCTGAAAGCGTTTCCACCAGGGAAGTAGAGACTGAATTCTGCCAATAACGAATGATCTTCTGCCAACAAGTGATCGTGGAAATGTCACTCATCTGCAAACTTCAGAGGAGATTGTACCCCTGGTTAACATCTTGATTTCAGCCTGGGAAGACTCTTGAGCAGAGAACCCAGGCCTGTATGTCTAACCTAGAGAAACTGAGGTAATAAATGTGTGTTGGATTAAGCTACTAAGTTTGTGGTGGCTTTGTCACACTGCAGTAGAAAAGCCATTTAAACAACAAATTAAAATGTGTCAAGCTAGTTTAATCAGAGAATACTTTTATGGCTTTGACTCCAACAGTTTCTCACCGAACAGTAGGCTAGTTTTGATGATTTACTATATGTTGAATCAAAAAGCATCACAGAAGGTAACTTCAGAGAAGAGGAAGGACCCAGTGGATGATGTCTTTGGAGGATAATCTCCCTTGGTTCTGTCCAGTGCTGTCTAAGAAAACCCAGTATAGATTGGTGGAGGGGCCTTTTGTTGGAGGTTCTCTCATCTTGGCTCACTGCACATGGTAACTCATTGTCCCTACAGGCTTCCCTTTTACACTTTCAGGCCATGACTACAGCCATCTCAGTACTAATACTGTCCTCTCTGGGCTGGACACCTTCCTACGGGTCTCAAGGGCCAACGGTGACATCCAGACCGGAAACAGGTCAGTGTTCACCGGACTTTCTTAACACTCATTGTTAACACACTCAGTTGTGAGGTTAGTCACCAGGAAATAACTACTCACTTTAAAACCATAAAAGAAAGTATGAATCATTCCCGAAGCATCTTTCCATATATGTGATAACAGAAAGAGGGGCTTCCGCAAACCACAGTATTTCAATTATAGGCTGAAGTATCTTGCAAATTTAAAAAATGACATTCTTCATTTTCATCATATTATCAATTTTTTTATTCTAGAAAAATCATTATTCTAAACATTAGATAATGAAAACGGAATTAACAACTTACCCTGTAACTTTTCAGTCTGATGAAATCAACCTTCATAGAGACAAATCTATCTGAATTTCGACTGATGTTCTTCAGGTGTTCCACAAGATCCGCACAGAACTTGTAACCTCCTTTCAGCACACACAGGATCACAATGTCACAGTATCCTATGTCTTTCAGAATATCCTTTGCTAGCCGTTCAATTCTGAAAGAGGAATTAAAAGATATAGTAAAGCATAAGTACTTCTGAGTAATTTTTTCTTTTCAAAGAAAATGCATGATGTACTACCCATATTAGATTACGTAGGGGATTGTGGAGGAGAGCTCGGGAGACAGAAGCCCACAGATAAAGAAGCTTTGTTAAGGCTGGACAAAGAGAGAGTGTTCGAAACATATTTCTGATAACCACATCATCATCCATAGTACATTTTTGCTCCTCTGTGTCACAAGCATGAGTAAGGTGTAAAATAGATGTCAAAGATCATGAATGCTATTATTTTATCACTATAGAGCCTGGTTGTTAACAATGCCATGAAGGTATCTGCTCACTTTATAGCAAAGAGAGAGGACATGGGAAAATGACTCACCCACCTTATGACATTAGAGGAGACTGGAAGAAAAGTCAACTCCATAGTAACTATCAAAAGAATAATCTCTGTCTTCTGTTTGACAAAAATGGCACATGACCTATGTGAAAAGTGCCTAGAACACAATTCCAATAGGCATCATTTCCAGGGAGCACCATGTGAATGATCCTTTCCTGGAGTTAGGCAGCCTTGGGCTGGTATCCAATGCCTGAATTGAAACTGTCACTGTGTTTTTTCTAATTGTTTCATGTCTGTAAGTCCATTGCCCAAGCATTCATACAATATTAAAACCTTGAATGGAGGCAGGAGGTAGGGTTGCATATTAAAAAAAAAAATTCCTACTGGCACTTCAGATAGAATTAGATTTAAAATGTGTTAACCTTTTAGGACACTTGGGTGGCCTAGCAGTTGAGCGTCTGCCTTTGGTTCAGGGCGTGATCCCGGAGTCCTGGAATCAAGTCCCACATCGGGCTTCCTGCACGGAGCCTGCTTCTCCCTCTGCTTGTGTCTCTGCCTCTCTCTCTCTGTCTATCTCTCTCTCTCTGTGTCCCTCATAAATAAATAAATAAAATCTATAAAAAAATGTTAACTGAATGATCTGTGTATATATATATATGTATATGTAAAGCATTTTATTATATATGTTGTACATATATTACATATATGTAATAATATATTACATAATATATTTTATGTTATATAACTTATGTATGTTTATGCATACATATGTTGCACATATATATATACATTTACATATTAAAGAGCAACCATGGTTTCAGACAATGTTTCTCAAAATATGGTCATCAAGAAAATGTACATCAGAATGCAAGACAAAGGGACATTCATTTTCGGCATAATGGAGTGAGGCGGTCAACACATTTCCACAAAAAAGTAATTATAAAGCTGGATAAAACTGCCAAAAATAACCATTTCGGCACTCTGGAAGTTAACCAGAAACATATAACAAACTGTGAATCATTTATTCATGAAAACATTGAACAATGGGTAGAAACAGCACAAATTTGGCATTCTTGCCAGAGAATGCTCCCACCTCTCTGAGCCCTTCATCAGCTCCATTGTTCAACCAGATAGTTCAACGAAGGTGGCCCACTGCCAGAGGAAGCTCACCTGATAGGGAGCATCGTCGGTTAGTATGGCTATCTTGATAGCCTGTGAACAGGGAGAGCCAATGGCTCCATTATCATGAAGTTGCAAATAATCTAGTTTAATTGCTAGTCTAGTTGGGACTAGTCTAGTCAAGGATTTAATAGGGAGTTCCAGGAGGGTAGAGTCATGGGAAAAGGATAGATAATAAACTCTTCATGTATCCCAAATTGACCAGAAGCTATGCACATGCCCAGCAGAGACCAGCATGGTTCAGGTTGCCTATACATTTCTGAATGATGGAGGCTGTATGTGCAGAGGAGACACAAGAAAGCACAATGAAACAATAAAAGCCAGGGAAGACTTGAAAGAGGCTGGAAATTTGAATGTGCTTGTCAGCCCCACACACATTCATCAGCAGAAAGTAGAAGTTTTACTGGCCTGAGGTGTTTGAGTACAATCTCCAACCAATCTCAGGCTGAAGACTAAGCTCTTCTGACACAGGGTAAGTCCTAGTAAGTAAGGGTTACAAGTAGAAACAAGAAAACTGCATATTACCAGAGGCTACACAGTGTGGAGGAGACAAATTCCACAGAACGGAAGACAAACAACAACAACAACAACAAAAAAAAAAAACCCCTAAAACCAGAAAACGAAACCAAAGAAAAAGGTCAATGAACAGCAAATAATTACAAATATGGTAGGTATTAAATCAACTATATCAATAATCTCTTTAAATATGAATGATCTAAATACAGCAATTAAGACAGACTATCAGAGTAGATTAAAAAAAGACTCTCACATATATTGTCTATAAATATAAAGGCACTATAATAGATTAAAAGTAAAAGGATGGAGAAAGACATACCATACTTATATCAATCAAAAGAAAGCAGGAGTAGCTTATTGATTTCAGACAAAGCAGATTTCAGAGCAATGAAATTATCCGGAATAAAGAGGGTATTATATAATAGTCAAGAAGTCAATTTTCCAAGAAGACATGACAATCTTTAATGTACATGCACCTAACGACAGTGTTAAGAACCTGATAGAACTACAACGAGAAATAAATCATCTACTGTAGTTGGAGACTTCTATACCCCTCTATCAGTAATTGACAGATCCAGCAGTCAGTAAACTACTAAGGATATAGTTGAAACACATAGTACCATAAATCAAGTGGACCTAACTAGCATTTATAACATTCTTCTCAAAACATATAAATAAGAAAATGAAAAGACAAGCCACAGATGGGAGGTGGGGTATTCAAAAAATCACACAACTGGTAAAAGACTTGTATCCAGAATATATAAAGAGCCCTAACAATTCAATAAGAAGACAACCCACCGAAAGTAAAAATGGCAGAAGACTTAAATAATCATCTCTTCAAAGAGAACATAAATAGCTAACAAGCACACTAATCATTAGGAAAATGCAAATTAAAACCACAATGAGATACTTTTATATATCTACTAGAATGGCTATAGTGAAAAGTACAGACAACAATAAATGTTGAAAACTGTGTGGAGAAACTGGAATCTTCATCCTTGCTGGTAGAAATATAAAATGGTACAGCTGCTTTGGAAATAATTGGCATTTTCTTAAACTGAACTATAAAACCAAGAATACTGCTCCAAAAAATCCATCCAAGAAAAATGAAAACATACATCCACACAAAGACTTATATGTGAATGTCCATGGATGCATTGTTCATAGTAACTCAAAACTAGACATCCAAATAATCATTGATTGGTAAATCAATAATTAGATATTGTAGGATTTAACCTATATGAAATGTTTAGAAAAGACAAATTTATATAGAAAGAAATCAGACTAGTGACTGATGCTGCAAGGAAGAACATGGATTGACAGTAAACAGATTTTGGGGGATGAAAGAAATACTATAAAATGATGGTTGTGCTTGCCCAACCATAAAAATTTACTAGAAATCACTGAATCATTGACCTGTAATGGGTGAATTTTGTAGTATGTAAATTACACACTTAATTAAATTCATTCCTGGGGCCCACCCCAGACCACTGAATCAGAATTTCCAGACATAAAGCATAAGAATACACCTTTTATTTGGCACCTGGTGTCTCAATGGGTTGAGCGTCTGACTCTTGGTTTTTAGCTCAGGTCATGATCTCACGGTTATGGGATCAAGTCCAGTGTAGGGCTCTGTGCTCAGCACTGGCTTGCTTGTCTCTCTCCCTCTGCTTCTCCCCCAGCGTCCCCACTCTCTCTCTCATGAATAAATAAAATAAAATCATTAAAAAATACATATTTTAACAAATCACTGGTTAAGTCTCCTGTACTGGGAACTGACTTTGAGGAGCCCTTGCAGGACCCAATCATGTACTAGATCAGGATGCATTTAAATAAGTCATAAAATTCAGGTGAAAAAAGCAGGAATTTGTTTAAACTGGGGGATTCCCAAAACAGTGCTAAGGGAAAAGTACCTCTGAATTATTAAGATGTGAACTGAATACGACGACTCCACTACACAACAAAAGTTGGTTTAATTGTTAAAGTCAAGCAGGTTTCTTTCCTTTTTTTTTTTTTTTGCAGGAATTTCCTTATTTTTAATATGAATTGCTAACAGGGAGATTTGACCATTTGGGAGATGTGAAATTTCCCAAGTTTATTTGATCACAGAACATTTTGTTCCCTTTGAGGATTGGGACTTATATTCCACAGAAAGCCACTGTAGGCCATGAGAAACTCCAAGCCAGGCTGTATTTTGATAAAATATAATAGTCTGAGAGAACGTGCAATATCCAAGTATTATCCAGTAGACAAATTTTAGAGCAAAAGAATGACATTTCCTTTTGCTATAGACAGGAATTAATGGAAAGATAATATCCTGGGAATATGGACTGTCTAATGTTTTTCAAACTTTACTTTGGCTAAGGACTTATTTCATAAGTTAAATATTAACTCAGAAGAATATAATAGATTTTTTTAAATGGAAGCAAAAGTATTACAGTTTAAGAAAAAGGGAAGCATGTGGAGTCCAAAGTTTTGATTTGCTCCTACTTCCCATTGCTTCTTTCACCCCCATTTCTGGGTGTTTAAAGAATCTCTATGTTCCTGGGAGTGCACTGTGAGGCTTGCTTTCCATGTAAACATGAAGGCTTAAGTAGTTGATATTTGTACAAGAAAACAGAGGTACATGGAATGATAAGAGTCTGGGCATTAGGCAGTTTTGTGAAAGGGGTATGACCTTGAAATCCTGATGCTTAAAGTGGGGCGCAAGTGGAGGATGCTCTCTGAAAACCAAGAAACAAATGGTGACTTAGTGACTTAGAACAGGAGAAAATGTTGGCTTTTACAAAGCCAGCTGGCTAGACAAGAGCTAAAGGATATCTATATAGATGGGTCAGAAAGAACTAGAAATAGTATTCTAGAAATAGTTCTGTGCAGATATTTTTAAGCTGAAAATATGCCTATTCCCAAAACATTACCACTGCCTGGAAACCATAATTGTGCACAGACTGGCCAATCTGTGATACATTGCTTGATCTAAGATATATGCCAAATTTCAGGAAAAGTCAGGGCTTCAGGGGTGTGTCCCATGAAGGCAAAGTTCACCTGTTAATTATCCCTGGTTAACTCAAGAGTCTGTGAATAATTTAAGACAGACATTCTTGGGTAAAGAACAATGCTTTCCCAAATCCTATTTTTATCAGTATGTACAGGACATTGTTATTTTGAGGCTGATATATATATATATATATCCAGTAGACAAATTTTGTCCAGTAGACAAATATATATATATATATATATATATATATACATATTTTTTTTCTTACCATTTCTCTGGGACAAATGTCCAGGTAAATAGTTCAGTTAAAGCATCAATTCATTTTATTCCAAATTCTCTGCCCTAAAAAAAGTTCTGTCTACCTCTATATGGCAGACTCAGGAATAGGGTCGTAAAGTGTATTGTATGATTTGCACAAGAGGGGGCCAGACAGCACAGGACCAAGATTGACATAAGAAATAACACTCAGGGGATCCCTGGGTGGCGCAGCGGTTTGGCGCCTGCCTTTGGCCCAGGGCGCGATCCTGGAGACCCAGGATCGAGTCCCACATCGGGCTCCCAGTGCATGGAGCCTGCTTCTCCCTCTGCCTATGTCTCTGCCGCTCTCTCTCTCTCTCTCTCTCTCTCTCTCTGTGTGTGTGTGTGACTATCATAAATAAATAAAAATTAAAAAAAAAAGAAATAACACTCACCTGTCCACAATGATGCCATGAGGTATGAGGACATAATCCAGATCTCCATAATAGTGCTGTGGGTATGTGAATAAATCCAAGTCATATCCTGGCCAACTGTCCATAATCTGTAAATCAAATTACTTTGGTCAAAATATTTTTCATGGGAAATTTATTTGGAAAACATAAATAAACAAAATGTATATCATTTGGAAAAAAGGAATAGCATTAAAAACAGAGAAAAGGTCTGACAATCAATACATTAGATTACATTCCGTCAATCTATTGAAAGCTCAGTGGGAGAAAGTACTTTGTTTCATGAAAGCTGACAAAGAATCTAGTACTGAAATAAACAGAGTTTCCAGTCCTAACTTTTGGCATCATACAATGAAATATCAACCTGATGTCTTATAGCTAAACTGATAGTATTGTTTGTAAGAGTGTGTTTTTGTGAATATATCATTTATATCTAAATGATATAGTATCATTAATATAAGTAACACTGTGTTCATAAGTATATTAATATGGACAGTATCATCATAAATTATTATAAATATTAATACATATACTATTACATTTTTATATATTGTAAATGCCTCATCTGCCTGGGAAAGATTACCTGTTACAGTAAATGTGTCTTGGGATTAATATAGACACAAACTTCTATGTGGCCTACTCATTACAATAAATACTTCAAAATAATGTACCATGGTGGGAACTTCAGTCAAGTCCCATTGGGAAAAACTGTTACAGAAAATCAGCCTATTCATGCAGTGAATACAATATTAGTCAGTCTTCCTCTTTCTTAGCACTAGATGTGCAACTTTTATGGTTAGAACAGGAAAAATGTGGGAGAGAAAATGAAGGTGAAGAGCGAGTTCCTTTTACTTTCAGATCACCGAGAGAGGATACAACAGGGAAGTGTTAGCACTCAACTCATTGCATAGCTGTATTGCAGATTCCTGATCTTTGATGACTCCTGCACCCTTCCATCAGACTCCTCTATTCAGCATGAAGCTTTTATAATGCAGAGCTATCCTGAATCTCCAGCCCATTTCCCTACACCATCATCTTCCCATCCTCAGACTGGTCTTTGGTCAAGTGGTGACCCTTCCCAGCTCTGTCTTCTGTTCATTGTCTGTCTTGCTTCTGCATCCTCTCCCTCTGTATCTCAAGTGGAATCCCTTCCACAGAAGCTCAGGTCACAGGCCCCACTTATTTCTGGAGGCCTTGCTCACTGCTCATACTCTCTGATCTTCTCTCTGAAACTCCTCATAGATGAGGTCCTCATAGCTCTCTGTCTTTTTAAAGGCTCCCATTCAGCCTCCTTGAGACGACTCTTGCCTCTTCCAGCTCACTCAATCTTGTCTGCTATAGAACCCATTCGTACTTCCTTTCATTCTGGCCTGTCCTCCAGCTTTCCACCTTTCTCCTCAACCAGGACTCAAATCCTTAGTCCAGCCTCGACCCACACCCATCGCAGTTCTGGGTTCTGGAATGCCAGCCAAACCAAATTCAGAGCATTTTCTTCCAAATGTATCTCCTTCCTATCTCAGCAAAGGACAACATATTTTTCTATTTGGTCAGATTGAAATGTTGGAGTTGCTGTTGACTTCTTTCTTTCATTCCCTCATGTAACCCATTAGCAAATCCTATCATCAATTCCTTTAAAATTTAACAGGACTCCCACTCAGCATCCCAACTGTTACCTCCCAGTCCATGCCACCATTTCTCCAGGAACCACCGCCATGGTTATCAGACATGCCTCCCTGCTTCCACCCTGACACCCCCCGCCCCATTCTAACATGGCAGCTGGACTGCTGCCATCTTCTGCTTATCTTCTTTGGGGGGCTTCCCATTTCTCTCTGAGTACAATCCAGAGTCCTTACCATGGTTCACAGGGGCTAACTCTCTCGACTTGTCATCTGTAGGCATTCTCTTCCTCCTTCATTCTGCTTCAGCTACGTTCTTCTTGCTGATCCTGATCCTTCAATGTGCCAGGCATGTTCCTACCTCAAGAGCTTTGCACCTGCTCTTTCTCTTGCCTACAATACTCTTCCCCCAGATTTCTACATGGCTTACAGTTCACTTCCTTCAAGTCTCCATTTAAATCTCCCCTCCACGAAGAGGACTTACCTGATCACTCATATAAAATAGCACCCTCTTCCTTCCTACTCATCTCTGAATCTCTTTTCCCCAGCTTTATTTTTCTTCACAGCACATGTTTCCACTGGATGTGATGCATATACATCTGTGTGTTTTGTCTTGTCTCCTCCCACTAGAATGTCAATGCCTTCTGACAGAGACCATGTCTGAGTCATTGTTGAAACCCCAGTGCCTAGAACACTGATCTAGAATACAGGAAGTGCTCAAAAATGTTCACAATTCTCCATCCGAAGACTACTTAATACTACCTGAGCTCCCACCCAAACTGATTTGCCTTGATTTGTCTCCTTGCATAAAGACCACCACTGTCCAAGGCTCTGGAAATTCATATCTACCACGGGCAGATTGTTAGCCAAATGGTGTATGTCATCTGCATATTTGAAAAGTACCACATTTGCTCTGCCTCTATCAGTAAATTGGCTGTGTGCAATGATTGAATTTGCACAGAGCAACTCTGTTTCCTAGTCCTGAGAACTCCCTGGGCCCTTAACTATCAACACCACAGTTCCTTGTCAGAGCCTGAACACCAGCTGTACGTGCAGAGCCTCCAGAAGATCCTCTGGCAGGCCATGGTAAAGGCCAGACAAGAACCCCAATGGGCATGAGGCCCTAGGGAGACCATTCAAGTGCATAGCATTTTCTGGCTCTCCTTCCAGACCACACACACTACCCACTCCACTTCCTGGAGCCCTTCCAGGTGGCGGCATCATTAACTAGTGGTCTTCTGAGCCCATTCTTCTACCATGCAAATCCTTTACTGCCCCCTGCCCCCTGCTGCATCTCAGAGCCTACATTCTTCTCAGTGTTCTAGAGCTCAGCTCTGACACATACTGGCTGTGATGCTAGGGAAAGTACTCATCCTGCCTGAGACTCAGTTTCCCCCTCCTTTAAATAAGACACAATAAAACCTACGGACAGGGTTGGTGTGAAGATTAAGAAAGAACAGAGTCTCCAAACCAGGCAGGAGCAACCCCATTTGAGGATCTGCTACAAAGCAGCTGCCTCTCCAGTATTATGGACTGAATTGCACTCCCCCCACCTAAAATTCATATGATGAAGCCCTACCTAACCTCCCACTGTGGTGACCTTAAGAGGTGAGGCCTTTAGGAAGTAATTAGGTCATGAAAGTGGAGCCCGAATGATGGAATTAGTGCTCTTATAAGAAAACCAGCAATTTCTCCTGCATGCTCTCTTTTTTTCTTCCTCTTCCTTTGCTCCCGCTCTACTCTCTCTGTCTCTGTCTGTGTCTCTCTACCATGTGAGGACACAATGGGAAGAATAAGGCAGCTATCTACAAGCCAGCAAGAGTCCTAATCAGGAATGAAATCAGCCAGCACATTGATCTTGGACTTGCACCTTCCAGAACTATGAGAAATACGCATCTATTGTTTAAAACAAGCAAACAGTGCTCGCTTCGGCAGCACATATACTAAAACAAGCAAACAAAATGAGAGAGAGAGAGAGAGAGAGAATTTATTTAGAGTTTCTAGGACATCTCCTGGTATATAATAAGTGCCTAATAACTGATGTCAAAAAGAAGAAACGAATGATAAACAAATGACAAAACCAACCTATTTTTAAGTGTCATCATGGTAACCTGTAGTCAGAGGTGGCATGGAGTAGTGGTCAAGCACACGGACTTAGAAGTCCAGCACATGTGAAGTGGGGGGTTTATAGCTTGGGACTTAACTTGGGGTTTTAGCTCTCTGTGCCTTGGTGTGTTCATCTATAAAAGGGAGTCAGTGCCTGCCTCACATGGCTATTGCGAGGATTCAATAAGATGTATAACAGAAATAAAATTCTTATATCATTATTTAATCTATAGTACCTACATAGTAACTGCTAACCATCTAGATATGCTAAAACATCACTAGTTAACTTGCAAATTAAAGGTCTTGATTTACAGAAGAACCTCAAACCTTTTTGTCAATGTCATGTTACCTTAGTAAAAGTTACACATTTAAAAATAGAAGAAATTTATTTGTCTAAAACTATTTTATAATTAAAACTGGACTTTTCCAATTAGTCTGAAATCATGAGTTTTCCTTGTTGAGATAAAAGACAATTAGAGGTAAAGAAACTACTGGTTTACAAACAACAGGTGTTGGTGAGGATGTGAAGAAAAAGGAACCCTCGTGCACTGTTGGTGGGAATGCAAACTGGGGCAGCCACGTGCAAAACAGGGTGCAATTTCCTCAAAATATTAAAAATAGAACTACCCTATGAACCTGGAATCACACTACTAGGTATTTACCTAAAAAAATACAAAAACACTACTTGAAAGGAATACATGCACCCCGATGTGTATATCTACAATAGCCAAACTATCGGAGCAACCCAAATGTCCATCGATAGATGAATAGATAAAGGTGTGGTATATATTCAAGGGAATAGTAGTCAACCATAAAGAAAGAATGAAATCTTGCTGTCTGCAACAACACAGATGGAGCTAGAGAGTATTATGATAAACGAAATAAGTCAGAGAAAGACAAATACCATATGACCTCACTCATACGTGGGATTTAAGAAACAAAACAAACATGCAAAGGAAGAAAAAAAGGGAGTAAGAGGCAAATCAAGAAACAGGCTTTGCTTATGGAGAACAAACTGATGGTTACCAGATGGGAGATGGGTGGAAGGAATGGGTGAGATAGGTGATGGGCACTAAATTGTACACTCACCATGATAGAAAAAAAAAAAAAAAGAATATGCTGTTAAAAAAAAAAAGACAACAACTACTGGTTTACTCCTCATAATTCCTAATGGTACATGAAAATTGCATTGCAAATAAGTCCTAAATCTGAAGGAATAGAGGCTGCTATGAACTGTAGATAATTATGTTATTCATCGGCTTTTTAAAAAATCAAAACAAGAAATCTTTAAATAGTTTCAGCATCACAGATAATATGCTCTAAGTTTAGCCAGAACAATACTTTCTCTGTTCAAAGACACAAAACATGGCTAGGCTAGGGAAGTGACAAACACAACAACTGAGCCATTTTATACAAAATTCAAACCCCAGAACTCATTTGGCTTCTCTTTTTTTCTTATTTGAAGATACACTGAAAACCTTCTTTAGAAGTCATTAAAATATTTTTTGGCTTAGCATGTTTCTTGCACCATTTTCCGGGTTTTTTCCCCTAGGGAGAAAAACAATTTGAAAACACATGCAAAAAACACATCCCTACTCCTCTCTGCCTCTGAGCCCCACACCCTGGGCCCCACTCTCTCCTTCAGACTGGGAGCCTGGTTGGTGCCAATTTTCAGGCTCACATCTACCCTTCAGCTGTCAGAGAGAAAAGGAATCTCATCCCTCAGCAGTTCTTCCAGGAACCCCACACACAACATCGAACATTGACTGGCCCAGGCCAATGAGGTGCACTCTGATGGGTGCCTCAAACCACACGTGGAGACAATGTGTAGAAGCAGCTCCCTAAAAAGAGGGGGTCCAGATTCTGCTACCAGAAGAATGAAGGGGACTCGCCAGACCAAATGACACCTTGTATCACACGTGCCCTCCTCTTCTGTGGTGGGTTCGGCACCCAACCTAGTAAAGTTGTGTTTTAGATGGTTATCTCATTACTTATCTCCAATAATGCCACAATACTGGGGGGGGGGAGCACCCATAATAGAAACACAACAATCATTTTAGATTTTTCTCTCCTCCTTATGCCTTCCAAACTCACTGTGCAGGTACTAACTGTGATTCTCTTGATAATGCTTCAAGAGAAAATAAAACATAAAATAGAAATAAAACATAGCTAAGAACCTGATCCAAAAAGGCCATATTAGTAGAGATCTTTATCTCTTCCTGAGAAGTAAAAAAGATGTACCAACCACGGGCTGGTGACCTTACTGGCTCCAGATCAAATAACCAGTCAATCTTGAGCAAAGTTTCTGAAGTCAAGGTCTACAACTCTATTTGGCAATTAACATTTGCTACTGCTCATTGTTAATAATCTACTAATGTCCTACGTCCTCCATTCAATGGAAAGCCATCTGTAGGCAAGAGTCATCTTAACTCTTAATATTCCCTTTTCTTGCACAAACCATACTTCTTGTTTCATGCTTAAGTCATTGGCTCTATGCCCTCCCTGCGATCTACATCACATAGTTTCTACCAACTCAGAATTTTCTTCTGCACCTCATTTCTGAACAGCCCCCAAACCTGTCTCCATCATCATCCTACCAGCCACTACATCCTACTAGCCACTACATCCTTCACCTGCCTTAACCCAAAAGGCCTCATCTTTATATGCCACATCCAATCTTCCAGAGCAATCTCATCTTGGAAGTACTTCCCTGCAATCACAGCTTCCCACATAGCACAGTGAGTGACTTCAATCCTGCTTCTGTCATTTGCTAGTTATGTGACCTTGGTGACTTTCTTAATCATTAAGGGTCTGTTTCCTCCTCTGTAAAATGGAGATCATTCTATTCCTCCTACCTCACAGATTTGCAAGGAGTAAATGAATAACACAGCAAAAACACACAGTAAGTGCTCAATACATGCTCGCTATCACTACCTGCCCTCTTTTTCACCGGTACCAGATCTTCCCTTTTGTTTTTTGCAACCATCCTGGAGGGCTCTCTATTTTCCCTGGAAAGCTTCCTTGCTGAGCTCCGCCTTTCCTCTCTACCCTAGATGCCATGGGCTTCGAACTCACTCTGAATCTGCCTTCCCAACCTGCATCCAATTTGAATTCATCTAATTATGCCCAGCTCTACTGGAGAAAGTAGCAAAAACGCAGGGGCTCTCCCCGTGACACATTATTTCCATCCTCTCATGAGGTCCTCACACTGCTTCACACCATCTTTCTCACAAAATTACCTTGCTTCCCAGAGAGCTTCTTCTGACACTAATAGGCTGGGCTATTTGTACTGTTCCATCAGTTGCTTTTTAGACTTTAACGATCTGCCTATCTTATTAGTCATATCAATTTACCTAATTCCTTTCTAAGGGTATATCTAATTAAAGGATAGCCTATATTGTAGCCATTCTACTGATGGGATGGATGATTGTTTGAATGATTCTCACTGCTAATGGTTTTGAGATTGTTGAATACAATGGACTCTTTTTCCACCTTAGTCCTGCTTGCTCTTTCTGGAGCATCTGACACTTTTAATGGCCCCTCTCACCTCTCCACAAAACCCTGTTCCCTAGACACCTACCACCCTGTCTGTCCTCTCCGACTTGGCTCTTCAATATTGGTCTCTTTATCGGGATTCTGCTGGACACGCTGCCTCTTACATTTGGGGATTTCCAGGTTTCTATCCATAAACTTATAATTTTCCCCTCATTTTTATGGGTATCCCTATCCATACCAAGCATCGAATATTTGTCTATTTTCTGAAGATTTCCAAGTCTATCCAATCACCCTCCTCAATTGCAAATATGAATTTCAAATTGCCTACAGTGAGTGCATCTTGACCTGTGCACCTTGCAGACTCAATTTGTCCAGAATTAAACTTATTTCCCTTTGTATATTTTCATTCCTCCCCCCAACCCCCCACACACCCCCTTGGGCCTGACTGTTCTCTCCATTGCAACTGGAGTGATTTTTAAAAAAATTTTTTTAAAGCATAAATTGGGTGTGAGGGTTTCTTCTCAGGATACAATGATTTCTTTGCAATCGGTATGCCCGGTTTCTCTTCTTCACATGGTTACCTCCTACTCGCCCTTCAGGCCAGGGCTCAAATATCACTGTCAAGAGGACATCCTGACCACCTGAGCACAAGCAGTGCTCCCCAGCCCTCCTTCAATCACTCCATATCTCATTCCCCCTTTTCTTTTCCTTGCACAGGTCACTATGTGAAATCTTCTTCTTTATTTGCTTGCCTATGTAAGCCCTTTTTCTAGAATGTAAGCCCCTTTTCTAGAATGTAAGCCCGATGAAGACAGAGCTTTATCCGGGTCCCTGCTGGATCCACAGAGCCCAGAACACCACCTGGAACCCCGCAGGACTGACAACAGGTGTGGAATGAATAAATAAATGAATTCTTGGTCCTTTACATGAAAAGGTCCTGCTGATAAATTACGAACTGAGCAACACCTTCCAACCTGACTCCTTCTGTCTGAGGGTGCAGTGTTTCCTTCCCCAAGCTCGTTACTCCAGCAATCCATGCACATAATTAGACAGTTTATTAGTGAATACCACAGATCTCTGATAAAAAGGATTGTTAATGCAGCAAGTTCGCCCCACTCTCCCCCCTCACCTCTGTTAATAACCACCACCTTCTGCAGAAACTATTCTGGACAGCAGCCCGGAGCTGAGGCCAGTGGCCACAGGGCAAGATCGGATTTGATTCCAGGACACTGACAGATGGATACCCTCTGGCTGACTCTTTGAGGGGCTCCCAGGGATAAAGAGGCTCTGGTCTGGGAATCCATCGTCCCACATCCCCCCATCCAGACACGCTACTACATGGGCACTATACATACAAGCTCTCCAATTCGCTGGCTCATCGGGTCAAGCCTGCTGTGTCCCCCTTTTGTTGACAAGGATACCGACGCCCCAGAGGCTGTGGAGCTCATGCCGAGACCCCGGAGCCCCAGCCCAGGTTTCAAAGCTCCAACTCCGGCCATGGGAGCTACTTTCTTTCCTAGCCGGCCCCAAGAGCCCTCAGCATCCTTTTGGGAAACAAAACTTGAGGCCGGCGCTGGAGGGGTCAGGAGGAAGCCCGGGGGGGCGGGGGGGAGGCCCGCAGAGGGGCGCGCGGGGAGTCACCCGGGGAGCGGAGCCGGCGCGCGCAGCCTTAGCGCGGGGGTCTCCGAGGCCCGGGTCGGGGGGAGGGACGGGGGGGGCACTGAGCGCACGGGGCCACGGCTCTCAGGTGTCGCGGGGAGCGGAGCGCGGAAGCCGTCCGCGCGGGGCCGGGGGACAAAGCAGCGGCCCTCTCGCCTTTCCCGCGAGTGCATTTCAGGCATTTAATCTAAAAGGAGGGTGCCAAGAAGGGAGGGGAGGAGAGGGGAGGGGAGGGAGCGGGGGCCCGGCTCAGCCCCGAAACCGGGAGTTCGCATTTACCACGACGCCGCGCCCGTAGTCTGGCGCCTCCTCGCTGCTCCCGGCCATGTTTCTCCCGGGGAAAGCGGGAAGGGAAGCGGGCGCGGGAGGGAGCTGGAGGGGGATGGTGCCGGGGCCCGCGCGCCGCCGACCCCAGGCCTGGCTCCCGCGGCTCGCTGCGGCGGCGCCGCGCCCGCCCCCCCCCCCCGCGCCCCTCCCCGCGCCCCTCCCCGCGCGGCTCCCCGGGGCGCGGGCGAAGCTGCGGGGCCGCGCGTCCCTGGCGGACGGAGCCCCGGGGCCCCCCGCCTGCTCCCCGGCGGCCCGCGGCTGCGATTTTATTTTCCGCTGGGAGGGCGGCCCGCGCCCCCGCCTCCCCAAGGCCGTGGTCCCCGCTTTGGGGCGAGCAGGGTCTCCGAAGCCTTCCTGCCGATTTTCCTGCGCTCTGAGCAAAGCCGTGAAAGAGTCCACGATGTGGGGTGTTCTCGAACTATGGCTGTAGACGAAACTACCCCGACCGTGATTTTTTTTTTTTTTTTTAACTGTGGTTTTAAATCCTCGAAACCTCCAAGCCGGGAGTGTGAAGGAGCCCCGTGATTGCTTTTACCCCGGCCCAAGCCCGCACTGGAGGGTCTGGAATGCGAAACAGGGGCCCGGCCTTCCCTTCATTGGGGGGGGGGGGGGGGGACGGGACGGGACATTTTTTACAGATTATCTACTTTACCACTTTTGTGAGACCATATGGTCCGACTGGAATGGTTTCGGGTTGCAGTTTAAAGCAATCGCTGCTGCTCTCAGATTCGAAAGCTGCTTTTATGAATCTTTTGTTAATTGAACCCCTAATCCCAGCCTGCCCCCAACCGATGCGCCGGTTCTTTGTCCATCCCTCAAGGGCCCGCTCTCCTGGCACGGAGATTCATCCCCCGGTGTCTGCTGACCCGCCCCATTCTTTGCAGAACCCGCTTTTGGGTTTGAAGCCCCGAGCTTCTTCTTCTTCTTCTTCTTTTTTCTAAGATTTCTTTTATTTATGATAGACACACACACAGAGAGAGAGGCAGAGACACAGGCAGAGGGAGAAGCCGGCCCCATGCCGGGAGCCCGCCGCGGGACTCGATCCCGCGACCCCAGGATCGCGCCCCGGGCCAAAGGCAGGCGCCAAACCGCTGAGCCACCCAGGGATCCCCTGAAGCCCTGAGCTTCTGAACACAGTTCTCCGACTTAGGCCTCTCTCTCCAAAAGGCTATTTTGTTCATGTCTGGGTTCTGGCACAGGGCAGGGAGAGGAATGCTGATTTTGCTTGGTTTGAGGGGAAAATAGTCATCAATCAGTTAATGTCGCGCTAGGTTGGAAAATTATTAGTCATTCAGACGTGGCCGTGCTCAGCACTGTTTGTTATTAGGCTTCCCCCAGATGCCAACGCAGAGGAAGGGAGACAGCGCGTGAGTCGCCAACACTGGGCACCTTGCTTGCCGACCCACCCTTCTGCCTGGGTGATGTCGTTTCCTCATACTAGTCAGAGGTCCTTGTTCAGGGCCACGTGTATAATCTGCCTCTCACCTCTTTTCCCAAAGGTGACAGTTTACCTCCCACTGACGTTGCCAAAGACCAAGCCCAGAAGTATTTTCACAACCACTGGTCACTAAAACTTCCAGGAACTGAGAAGTACTATCATTGTGGTGTGATCAGGCTTTGGGTTTCACCACACCGGCTGGTGGAGCTGGTTAAAGCAGCCTCAGGCCAGCCCCCTACCAGGCAGGTAATGTGGAGAAGCCAAAAGCATGGGGGTGAGACATGGAAATCCACACAACTAAGGCTCTCAGATGAGCCAAATGCTTGTGGTTCTTGAACCATGCTTTACCTCTTATTTACCTCTTTACTTTATCTCTTATTGCTGCAAAATCAAACTTACCCATAAGAGGCTCAATGTGGGTGCTTGGGTCAGATTAGGGGCAATGGGTCTCAAAATAAATTACAGAGGTAGCTGCTAAATAGAAACCAAAAAGGAACAGCTCTGGGCCCAGCCCAGGCACTGTGGAAGGTAGGAGAGAAACTGTGGCTAAAACTCTCCTTATAGGGACGCCTGGGTGGCTCAGTGAGTGAGCGTCTGTCTACTTTTGGCTCAGGTCATGATCCCGGGTTCCTGCAGGGAGCCTGCTTCTCCTTCTGCCTATGTCTGCCTCTCTCTCTGTGCCTCTCATGAATAAATAAAATCTTTAAAAAAAATCTCTCCTTATAAAAGCCATTGATTTAAAACCAAATGGGATCACAATGAAAAAAAATATAACATGCTTGAATGACAACAGGAATCGTGAATGTATGCTCAAGAACATCCTGTACAGGACATCCTAAGAAGACCACAGAATGATGAACACTTTTTTTTTAATTTTAATAATTCATTTTATTGAAACCAGTATAGCAAAAGTTTCTCAACATTTATTGAGATTGAGATGTTTATTCATTTTTTTCAAAAAAAGATCATTGAAAGCTGGTGTGTTTTGTGGTTATACCATGTCTCAGTTTGAAGTGGCCACATTTAAAGTTTTCGGTGGCCACCTGTGGTTAGTGGTTCCCACACTTGGGTGCTGCAAATCTCGAGTACTCTAGAATTTAGTGCATTGACTTGAAGACCTTAGGAGTGAAAGGAACTAGAGAAGAAAAGGATGAAATTTCAAATATAATTGATCAATACATTTTCCATGAAGAAGTTGATAGAAATTATACTAGCAATACAAAGGTTGACACCAACTAATTGGATGTTTTAGTTTTTAAATATACTTGTTTTTTTAAAAAATCATTTTTATTTATTTTGTTTTTTTTTAATAAAGATTTTATTTATTTATTCATCAGAGACACAGAGAGAAAGAGAGGCAGAGACACGGGCAGAGGGAGAAGCAGGCTCCATGCAGGGAGCCCGACATGGATCTCAATCCAGGGTCTCCAGGATCATGCCCTGGGCTGAAGGCAGCACTAAACCACTGAGCCACCCGGGGTGCCCAACAAATCATTTTTAAAAGTAAATTTGTTATCTTGTCATATTTTGATAACATTTTGTGTGATCTAATTATTCTTTGGACAGCATTAATGTAATACGATGTAATACTTGATATCACAAATGGTAATTACAATGACCAATATCCAAGAATAACAGTTTATCTGGCCAGGCTTAATTCTTCTTCTTGCATTATGAGAACTTAGAGGCAAAATTCTTTTCAAATCTCAAATTTCTGTTATGTGTCTAGTGGAATAGCTTTCCACAAGAATTCTGATTTTTTTTTTTTAGTAACAATCCGTATGGTCTTAGCCAATGAGGCTAAGCCAATTACATCAATATAATATGCCACAATTTTCTCATCTATAAGAGAGGGCAATATATTGCTGTTCTATTGCATATAATGACAAGATTAACAAAACAGGCAGGAGAATCCTTAGAAAAGTCCTATGAACTGTAAGGTGTTTTATTAATCTGAGATACCGTGAAAATATATGAGTAAATGCTTGTAAAGTTAGTTGATCTGAAAATGACAGGGTAATTGCCTTTCTAAGATGGGTGTGATGTGATTAATCAGGAACACTTATAGTCTAGGGACAGGTTGGGGCTGGTATGAGAACTGATAAGGAATATGAGAAAAATATTAAAACAATGGAAATTTCCACGCAAAAAAAGGGATATTTTAGCTCAGAATGCCCATTTTCTGATATTTCTCTGAAGGAGTTGTAGTAGTACATCTTTGCTAAATTAATAACCAATAAATATACTTGAGTTTTTCTGTCATTCTCTATATTACCTTTTAGTTGTAGATTCCCTGCATCTTATTTTATTTTTTTTAAAGATTTATTTATTTTAGAGAGAGGGGGAGAGACAGAGAGAGAGAGAGCGTGTGTGTGTGTGTGTGTGTGTGTGTGTGTGTCCACAGGAGAGCAGGGGGAGGGGCAGAGGGATTGCAAGAATCCTTAAGCCAACTGCCCTCTGAGTGGAGAGCCCAATGTGGGGTTCTCAGGGCTCCAATCCCAGGACCCCAAGCTCATAACCTGAGCTGAAATCAAGAGTCAATCATTTAACTGACTGAACCACCCTGATGCCCTGAGATTCCCTGCATTTTAAATTCTGGGATTATCTTGTGCCACTACCATGGTAAAATCACAAATATTTATATTTACCTGAATTCTCCAGCAGGCTAAACGACTTTTATCCCGAAAACACATACTGGTTTAATGACACTTTGGTAGTTTTTAAACTTTTGCCAATACTAATCTGTTACTGAAGGAGCAATTCAGTCCATGCAACTGGGTTGCCCAAAGTCTGTCACTGTAATACTGGATTCAAAATAACAGAAAGGCATTTATTTTTTCTGAGCTCTGAAACATGAAAATAAATTAAAAAAAAAAACTCTCAGCCTGGGAATTGTGTTGAAATACATAAACATATGAAACTTAGTGACTCAGATTGTTAGTCACAGAGTCACTGGTTAGAATCTGGATGAAATCCACTGTGGACAAAGGCCAGTAATAATGGTGATGATATTTTGCTTTTCCTTAGGGCTGAACAAAACCCTTTACAAATGTTACAAGTACAGAAGAAAAAGTGGCAAGAAACTTTCTTCCAAATATTCAGGGGAAGTGAGAATCTTGCTACCTTTGAGGTATTTTGTCCCTTGTACCTAAGAACAGAAGAAATATAGTTGCAAAAAAAT